ATAGGAACAGTGACAAGTTTGGGTATTGTGAAGTCGGCTTTACATGTTGAGACTGTATCCAAAATCAGGGATCATTTGCAGAGAATAGATGACACTCCAGCTTGCTTAGCAGGAAGGTATTTATCACGGAGTGTCAAGTGGCTTACAGACTCGCCGAGAGGGCTGAAGACACAGAATCTAGGTGGAACTTTCAGGAGCAACCTCGAATGCCTCCCCACAGAACAGGGCTGCTAGGGTGGCTGCTGCCTCTTCAACAACCTTGCAGTCAGGAAGGTACCCTTCTAGAGCCACAACACCACTGTTTCAAACAGGAAACCACCATAATCAGGAAGCAGCTACTGCTGCCAGATCTAGAACCACCACTAATCTGCAACAGAACACGTCAGCAGAATGGATGCTCCCGTCCCTGTGCTCAGACTCACTGCACCCACCCATCTCACGTGGGAATACTGGAGCCCCTGCAAATGCCACCTGCAGAAAACCCAACACGTCTGCTTGCTAGCAGAGTGGACCACATTCTAAAATCTTGTCCATCTTGGACTTACACTCTTCTAGAACTCAAGCTGCAATAGAATTAGCAAAGTATACTTTGAGCCTTCCAACTTGTGGAGCAAGGAAAGTCATGCTAGAATAATATTTGCAGACTGTGGGTTGTGACTCATGACAGCATGATCGAATCTATTCAGGTGGTCACAACAGGAATTTTTTTTTTCTTAGTCATGAGTAGCTAGGGTCAGCATTGCTTAATGTATCCTTGGTCTTAGGGTTGTGTGTGTGTGTAATTATCTTTGTTTGTAAAGGAGAGCATTTCTTCTCTTGAGTCATGGGAAACACACTTGAAAGTCACTATACTAGATGTGGAGTGCCAATCTTCCATTGCAAGGTCTCAGAAAGAACTAATAGGTAGAGAGCCCAGTGGCTACTGAATATGTGGGGTTGAATTTTAGGAGCAAATCAAAGCTGGAGATATAAGTTAGGCAGTCATTGGCAAGAAGCTGCCATTGAAACCAGGGGGAGTTGATTAAGCCATTCAGGGAGACAGCATGGAGGGTGAAGAGAAAAGAGATCTGGAAGGGACCCCAAGGAATACAGACATTTGGTCTTGGGGGAGAATTTTCCTCCCGGCGTTGCACTCATCCTTCATACCTTGTGGTATTTTTTATTTACTCTCTAGAGAGAGGACTGGATCCAGGGCAGCCCCAGAGCGCCTTGTGAAGGTATGTTTCAAACCCCATGTTAATTGGGGTTGATTCTGTAGCAGTCTGGCAGAGCCACGGCTCATCCCATGCAGGGAGATAACCCAGCACCTGGCATGGGGTCCTAGCGCCACACCACGCTGGTGCTCAGGAGCTGTGTGTGGAATGGATGTGCAGAGCACAGAAGTTCTAGGAAAGATGGAGAGAGCTTTTTAGATTCCAAAGCTCCAGCTCACAAGCTGTGACCATAGACGGGTCTAACCTCATTAGCCAAGGTTGACTCACTAGTGTCAAGATACTATTTATAATTTTTGCTGTATAGAAAAATAGCAGTAAGGACTGGGGGCTGTTCAGGGAAATATGTTCATTGTAGCAATATCAAGAAGCAAGTTAAATGTTCATTCATAGGAGCACAGGGCATCTGGCATAGTCAAACAATGAAATCCGATAAAACAGTTGAACAGGTGAGCCAGATCCACATGTGTCATTCTGTATCAATCTGAAAACATCAACACTACATGAAAAATTTCAAGTCACATATGTAATATGAAGCATGATATCATTTATTGAAATTTTTAAAGCCACAGAAAATTGTACTATATATACTTATGGGAAAACAACTGTAAAATTATGTAAGTGAAGGGGCACACAACTTCAGGGCAGAAGCTCTCTAAGGAGAGGCTACAAGGAAAAGGATGGGGGAGTGAGAGTGCTCTATCTGCAGTATTTTCTTTTTACAAAGAAGCAGAAGCAAACATGGCAAAATATTAATAGTTATTAAATAAGCAAGGAGGCACTGGGAGAAATTATTTTCTGTTCTTTTCATAATTAAAAATAAATAGAAGTGTATACACATTTTGCAATGCCCAGAGCAAGAATCAAGCTTCCTCCTCTGACAATAGGTTAAGCAGATAATCTGTAAAATAACTACTAGAGCAAAGCAGGTGCACACACACACACACACACACACACACACACACACACATATACATGCATATAAAACACACGTATATGACACGTATATATGTATATATATGTACACACACATATACATACACACATACATAGCTTCAAATTAAAACAGTAAGCTTTTAATTTTTAAATTATTTCTTCCAGTTTCTGGGAGATTATACTTTTCTATATGAGACCTTGACCTTTTTCTGTGATTTGATCATGTACTGAATCTATAGACTATCTGTGTCTCACATTTGAATGATGGGTCTGGAGGATCCAAGTGGTGCAAAGAAGAACAGAGGAAGCCCTAAATGCTGGGGACCACCCTGGTGCAGGGCCGGAAACATGTGACCTGAGGAATTACAGAAAGGCTACAGGACAAAGCATATCAAGGGTGGTAGGAAATAATGGACAGGGGAGTCAGGAGGCTGGGCTCAGCTGCTAGCTCTGATCTCAGCTCTGCTACTAACCACACGTGAGGACTTCTAAGTCTCTGCCGTCTATTGGGCTTGCATTCTAACACTGGCTTAGCTCGTCACTCAGGATTTTTCCAGGGACCACAGGGACTGACTTCTCAATCCTCTTAACTTAAGGGCTTTGTCCCCCAGTGCCAGAATAATCAGCGGTATTCCAGGGATTCTGGAAGGCTCTCCTGTATGGTAAATTCTGCCTAATTTCCCTCAGTATTTCCTCCCTCTACAGACTATTCCTATCATCCCTCCTGGGGCTGCTGCGCTCTCCTCTGGGCCAAACTTTGTGTGACTGGAGAATTCTAAGAGGGAACTGGGGTAAGTTGAGGAGGCATCAGTGGGTGGTAGACTGGGTGAAGAAAAAGTTACCAAATGTGGAGAAAGAAAGTCTTATAAATTCCTCAAGGGTAGGAACACATTTAGTCTATACTGATTGTTTCTTACCAACTCACATATCTCTCTTCTATACAAGTTCTGCATGTATGCTATGTGTGTGTGTGTGTGTGTGTGTGTGTGTGTGTGTGTATGTATGTGTGAGCTCCAGTTTGGTTTTGCCCAAGGGGGCATATGTTTTGGTTAGTCTGGATTCCTAGTTAGAAAAATTATTTGTTTTACTTGCATAGATGCTACCACATTCCCAGGGGCTGGTTAACCTTCAGGGAGTAAGAGAATCTGGGTTTAAACTTTCCAGATTATCCACTCCGTATTATTTTCAGTGGAGTTACTAATGATTACTTTGTCTTGCTACAGAACTGCTTTAAATGCTGTGTCCCCTGTGTCTTCAGCTGTCGGCTTTCAAAGCATTGCTTGACAGAGACTGAGAGTAGGAGCCACTCTCAGTGTAAAAGTCAGGTGTTTCTGCTCAGAGAAGGAATGGGATCTTTCTGAACTTTGAGTATGAGATGGTAGAAGATTTGGTTAGTTTATACAGCATAGATTGGAGATACCTTTTCAAGAATGCATGAGTTGGCTTAAGCAAGGTTCATTTGTCCTTCTGAGTTAGGTTATAACTCAAATGCCACATACTCCCTTACTTTCTAGTTTTGGGTCCTCAAAATCTGTCTCTGTTTACTACATACTTGGCTTGCTGTATTCAACACTTCTTCTAATGCCTGCTCCTCCCAACGAATCTACTCATAGAAAGTGTTATGAGAAATGTAGACTTTACTGAATATTTCATAGAGGAGGCCTAGGAGGAGGCTGACAGTAAGTATGCGGCTCAGCAAATGACTTACATTTTTCCCTAGCTGTTTTGTTTTCCCAAGTCCTTCTCATCCATACCAACACTACTGAGTCTTTTTTTTTCCTTTTCTTCTTTTAAATTTTTCCTAGTCTTTCTCTGACAAACACGCCCGACTTCCAACATTTTTCTTTTCCCTCCTCCTTTTTAGAGAAAAATGCAAATTTTGCTCCAGTCTTTTGCATGCAGTTAAGGGTCCCTTTTTTCTTCTGAAGCATCAGCTCTGGGGATTTATACTTCAAGCTGAATAGTCCTTCTTTCAAACAGATAAGGTGCTCCTTCGGAAATGATGGATGGATGTAAAGGTAGGTTGACATAGCTAGAGAAATCTCATGGTTGCCCAACTCAGGAGAGGAGGTTGCCATTGTTCAGAAGGCCTTCTCATCATTTACAGGGACATCATCATTTATCAACAACACTTTGGGGCCTTAATAACCCTCCACAGAAATGGTTCCCTGAGAGAGATCATGTGAGAAATGGCGGCAGCATTGCCTGACCAAATGGCTGCATCACCATGACCACTGCCCACTGTTGGAGTGTTTGCAGAATGCACAGCCCTTCCCAAAAAGACACAAAAGCTGTCTGTTGTTGAGTTATTGTCAATCTTAACTTGAATGGAGTCAAGCCCAGTCAGGTAGTTTTCCAAATACCAGGAGGCCTCTTAGATTCAGGATGATCAGTTGGGCAACCCTTTCTTTTATACATTTTAGATCTCACTGCTCACATCATCTGGCAAGGTACTCTGAGACTTGTCCCCAAATTCTGACAGTGCTGAGGTGACATGAAGCCAGATACTTCTAGTATCATTGGATTTAGACTGGTGTGAGGGCCTTTCCTTTGATTGCAGGACTTCTAGAACACTGCCTGGGATCTTAGGTCACAGGTCTGGGGTGAGAGATCCTGGTCTTCTGAGATGGCAGAGATTTTGGAGAAATTCAAATCCAGCCCCTTCACTTTTGAGACATGGATCCAGAGTTCCAGGGAGGGGAAAGGAATAGCTCCAGGTTATACAGTGAGTTAGTGGTTGGGCCAGGGTATAAATCCATCCCTTCTGACACCTATGTGGGACTTTTCCCACCACACTCACTGCCTTGCTTCCCTGCCTTCTATTTGAAAGATACCTCATTCAAAATTGTTCTCTTTTTTTTTTTTTTTAAACCCTGGAGCTGTATCTTTCCAAGAGACAAGAAGGAGAAGCATGTTATTTAATACCCTTTGTGGTTTTAGTCTTGGTCTAGAGTTTTCTTTCTGCCCAAGTGTTTGATGGATAAAATACTGTATGGTAGAGAGTGGCTTTCTTCCTGAAGGCCAGGAGAAGTGGTTCATTCAGTCTAAACTACTGTATAAGAAGATGGACAACACATTCTCAAGAGGAAAGGTGTTTGTATCCACATACTGGAATTTATCCACTTTGACTGATATGGTGGTATTGACCTGGAGGTGCTCCAGCAAGAATTGTGAGAGATTTTGGTATATATTTTTGGTTTGCACTCCAGACTCACACACTGTCACCAGCGTCTGCTTTTTGACATCTTTGTTGATGAGAAGCTCCAACTTCAGGTCAACAGAATGTTCTGGGCATTTCACGAGAAACTGCAGTTGGCAAATGATGAAGTACCAACCTGGGAACTGGATTACCAGATTCCCATCCTGATAGCTGACTCCACGGACAATGCCATCTTTGTTCCAAGACAACTCGGATTTGTTTAAATGCTTTGACACTATAAAGAGAAGGACAAGAAGACAGGGTTATTGGGCATATTTCAGGGGCAGATTGGAAAATGTGAAGTTTTTATTCAAGGTTTCCCATTCCAGACTCGTGTTTTCTATTATACTGCCTGCTGTTCCAACCATCTGGAATGTCTTCCATGTTTCTCATTCTAGGTACTGCTTAACATTCAAGGGATGTTCTATGCTTAAAGCTGAAGGGTCAGAACACACATGGCAATGGACTGCTACCTCTTATAGAAGCGTTTTCCACTTAATTAATATTTTATTTTATTATTATTATAATTATTATATTTCCCTCTTGAGACTGTGAGCTCCTATGCTGTACTCCCCACAAGTCCTGGACCAATCAATCAATGAATGCTTCATCAATAAGGGAGTACTATTTGGTAGGCACTGCATAAAGTATCTGAGATATGATAGTTTGTTTCAGTTTGTAACCAATTCAGGCATCGAGATTTCCAGGAGAATTTCAGTCTGTTGATTTTCATATTAAAATGTGTCTTTAACAACTCATTGTCTGAATTTTTTAATGTCTTCCTCTCTTTAAAAGGGCAGCCAAACATAACTGTATAGATCACGCAAGCGTACATTAAGGGGCTCTTCCCAGCTGGGATTTATAGAAAAGCTGATGATGTGGCAGACATGTTCGTGTGGAAAGCCAAGTCTCTCTGAGTCCTAACAAGTGAAAATCAGCACTGATTAGTCAGGGTGCCTTTCAGAACTGGAAAGCTGGCATTCGTTTTAATTGCCTTCCCTTTAAACCTCGTTGCGATTCAGTTGAAGAGTGAGAACTAATCTAACTGCAAAATTGAATTTTTAAAACAGGCAGAATGGCTATTCAGAGAATCTTGGCCATCCTCTCCGTATCTCGGCTTTCCCCGTGTAAGTGCCTTGTATTGTTTCCTTTATAAGGGGCCTCTTACCTGATGCATGCTGCAAGATGCAAATAGGCTATGTGCCAGCATGTTCATTAAGCTGTCAATCTGGGGACAAGGCAATTTTGTGGCTCCCTTTTGAATAACTCGACAGAGGCAGAGACTAAAAGCCTGCTTCTCTTTCATGAGGAAAAAGTACTGTACACTTGGCCCAAAACTTGTAGGTGGCTGAATAGAGAGGGAGCGTGGGGGTGAGGCACAAATGCCTTCGGAGGCCAAGTTAGTAATGGAAAATGGGAAGGAGACTGAGAAAGGAGGAGTCTTGTGGCTTTCTCCCCTTTTCCCCCAAGGCCTTTTTTAAACACTTTTTTAAAGTACACTTATTTATTTTGAGAGGGAGAGAGAGAGAAGGGGAAGGGCAGATAGGGAGGGAGAGAGAGAATCCCAGGCAGGCTCCGTGCTGTCAGTGCATTGAGTCTGATGTGGGGCTCGATCTCAGATCATGATTTGAGTGGAGGCTAAGAGTCAGATGCTCAGCTGACTGAGCCATCCAGGTCCCCCTCCCCCTAAGGCCTTCAAAATCAAATTATAAAAAATAGCATGCAGGCTAGAGACTACATTTGCATGTCAGCTTTAGCCATGGGCTTCTCCTTTGACCTCTGGCTTAGAGGTTTCAGAAAGGCCACAGGAAGTTGCCCTCAAGTGGCTGGAGTTCCTGGATTCAGTTACTGACCTTGGAGGTAGGCCCACGACTTCTCAAATGGAGCCTTTTCCAGTATACATGAGATGTCCCCTGAGCAATTTCCTAAAAATAAGGAGATCACACATTAAATGTCTTTCTCTACTTTGGAGACATCAGATCTTTTTTCATAACCCTTTGATGGAGACACTTAGTATTCTGTTTCCATTTGGGGGGCTAAAAGGACACCTGTTTATTTCTCATTTTGCCATCAGGTTCCATAAGATCCTTTTCAGTTGATTCCTTCCACTTGGACATTTACCAAAGACTGGAAATTGAGGGAAGAAAACTAATAAGACCCGAGTTCCCCTATGTGCCAGGTGCCATTCCTGTCAGTTTACATACTTCAATTCATGTTGCAGCAACTATATGAGAGTGGTATTATTAAGTCCCTTTTACAGATAGAAAAAAGTCTAGGGAGCAGACAGATTAAGTACATTGTCCCATGTTCCTCGGCCAAGCAGGGATGGTCAGAACGATAATACTGATAGTAATTACTGCTATCCTTCTTTTGAGAATGCAACAGATACTGGTCTGTGTACTCTTATATATTCTGTTAGTGTAATTCTCAGAATAACTCTGTAAGGCTGATCCTGACACCTAGACATAGTCAATGATACAAGGTCAAGGAGGTTAGTGATAACATTGAGATTCATCCCCATGTCTGATTCCAGAGGCCAGGTTTCCTCCTCAACATCATTTGCTGGACAGTGGCGATAAACACAGTCTTGTGCTCAATTTTAAGAGGATATAGAATTAAAGACTTCTAAGTAGAAAGCCTGCTATCTGGAGCTCCCTTGGCAGGGGAAAATGACAGTGTTTATGTCATTATGGTATTTAAGAAATAAAAATATTTTTAATATATTCACTGGTGAGGCTGGCTTAGCAGCTTCTTATTATAGAAACTATTATATATGCAAAGAACCAAGTTATACATTTCCTGCAATGACTCATGAATTCAACTTACTCTGTGTAAATTCCTTCTTGTCTTTGGATCTTGGTTTCATATCTTATTATAAAACTGGGAGATCTAAGACCTGACACTGACATCTTTTTGATGGAGTCCCCAGAGTGACCAATTCATTCTGTCCATCAGATACTAGATAGCCATGGGCCTGTTCAGTTGAAGTAGCCCGTACCATGATGTGTTTTCTCCCTGGATCTCTGATTGGCGTCTGTGGGGCTTACAATCTTCCAGGTTTCCCTCTCTGCCCCAGGCTTAAGGAAATCCCTTCTGGCCTTCCTCATGTCCCCATGGAGCCTTGGAAAAGTTGAAAGTTAAGTGAAGAGGTCCCTCTGCTGTCTGTACAAGCTCACTGCCAGCAGCAACCCCACATAACACCCCCCTCCCCCCAGAAAAGCAGGGGGTGGTTTTCATCCTTGTCTGCCATTAACCCATAAAGATGCTCTGACCCAAAGTTCTCCTTGGTGATGAGGGCTGGTGGGCCAGCTGCCATTCGTTTGATCCCATCTCTTACCTGGTGTTCTGGTCCTGCCTGTTTCCGCCACAGCCCACACTCTTGAGGTGTTAGAATCAGAATGACAGCATGAAGCCTGCTTATTTTCTAATGAACTGTGAGTGCGTTAAGAGAGTCTCTCTGGCCAGTCTCCCCTTCTTGGGCATGTGGAACATCAAGTCGGAAAAAATTTCGGCCAGGCATACCTGCCTGGGTCTCTTCTCTGCTCAAAGTCCCTTTCTGACTTTACTGTGCCTGCAGGATCGGGGCCAAGACCCTCCACGGGGTGTTCCTGGTTCCTAGCATTCTGTCCCTACCGCATTTTCAAGTGTCATGCCCCACCTTCCCTCCTTCCCTCAGACTCTTGATCCCGATGGCGGTAGCAGTGTGGACAAAAACAATAGCTAGTACAAGATGAGTGATGGCGATCTTCCAGGTACTCTGCTAAGTGTGTTACATTCCGTCTCTCACTTCTGCGACCACCCCATGAGAAAGGTACTACAATGATTTCTGTCTTGCATATAAGGAAGCCAAGGCCTTAAAAGGTTAATGACTTGTTCACATTTGCATAGCTAGTCAGTGGTGGAGTGAGATTCAGACCTAGGCTATCTGACTCTAACTCCTGGGTAGATTGCCGACCACCGTACTGGTTAATTTGCCTCTTCCCCTGGAATCTCCCTTCACCAGGGGTTACTCCTTATTTAACGCATAGCCTGGAAATCATCTCTGACCTTCCCTCTGTTTGCCTATTTGCCTCCTCCATTAGACTGTGAACCCTCAGGGCAGAGACCACTATTTATATATCCCCAGTGCTCTCCCCTGAAGATGCTCTTTAAATGTTTGTTGAATTGAATCACCTAGTCTGTCCCTCTTACTTCCCTCCGTGGATGTCAGGCGAGTTCTGGCAGGAGTGAGGTGAATGGGGATGCTTGGCTTGCTTTCCCTTTGGGGCTGGAATAACATTTAGCCTCATTCTCCCATAGTTCTTCAGTTGAGCTTAGATTAAATGGGAGGATAAGACTCATGCCCTGGACTGAGGCCAACACACATTGCGAGAATCAGAATTACAAGAACAGGCTCTGCTCATTGGTCGGAGGCCCCCTCACATCATGTCACTTGTGGTGGCATCTGTCAAGGAACCTTCTGTAAACAGGTGGCTGGAGAAGTACAACCCTGGGCTGGCCTCTCACACATGCACGTTCTGTTTTTCCTTTCCCCTTCAATCTTTGTGTGTTTGGGTGGTTGACCTCAGCTCTAATTCTGAGAAACCCAAGGATGGAAAAAAAAACAACACACCTCATTCTGAAGCATTTGCATTTCCTGAAGTCAAAAGGCCAGGTATGTTTTAGTTTTTCTTTAAGAATCTTTTAGATGGCTTCAAACAAAAGGAAAAACACAGGCAATCCTCTTCAAGATTGGCATTGCTGGAGCCACCTGAAGTAAGGGGGGATGGGGAACAGGACAGTGGGGGAGCTGTTGGAGAAAGGGGGTGGTTGAATGGGGAGAGGAGCCCAGAGGAAGGCGGTTGTTGGCCTTTCACATCTGACAGGCTGTCAGCAGGAAGGCCGTACAGCCTGCTCTGTGGGGCCCAAACACTACGGCTCCACGTGGAAGTTACAAGAGATGATGTATTCGGCTAATAACAAACACTGCCCTTGTCGCTATTTCTCCAATGAGAAAGGGGAAGATAAGAAATGGGAAGACCGTCTCCAAAGACACACACATCACACTGTAAGTCACAGGGCTGGCAGCTCAAATATTTGACCAGTGAGTGCTATTTGAAAACACGTTGGGCTGATTTGAGGGTCACGAGGCTCTTGTCAAGAGCCAGATGGACATTTCATGGGTCACCAGCCGTGTGTCACCCTGTGAGTCCCAGATATGACTTTCTGTTTTGCTTATGAAGATAAGAAAGAGTGACTTATAAATAGGTGGTGCTACCTGTAGTGGGAATCCTGTGATATCCCTGGAATTTTGAATGCTGGGAGCACAGGGAACAGAACACACCACTGTTTCATTTATTTCCCAGATGAATGTGATGCCTAGAGGGGTTTTGTGTGTGACAAACTGACCACCTAGACAGAACTAGGGATACACAGATGTTGCTTAAGGTGGTTGAAAGGATCATGTTCTAGAAATCAGAATAATGGCAGCCTGAATACTGTCCACCCCCCCACCTCCCGACCCCCACCTCCCCGCTGCTGAGATCTCAAAATGTTAGACTAGAAAGAGCCATTTGATGCCAACTTAACCAAGACCCTAGTTCTGTGATGGGGGACATTGAACCCAAAGGAACTGAGGGTCTGGCCCAAGAAGTGACCATAGATTAGTGGCAGAGCTGGGTCCAGAGCACACGTCTCCTTACTCTTAATCTAGGGCTATGTCTTCTGTTTATATGTCTTTCCATGGAGGGGTGAGGGTTAAATGTAGGAAGAAGTGGGTTTGCAGCCACCATACACACTGGACTAAAAACTGACAAAACATCTAGAGGTATTGGGAGAAGAGCACTGATGAGTTCCCTTTTGCAGAGGAGTGCCAGAAGGTGCCTTCAGGCCCATGTGTCGAACTCTGCCAAATCCTAAGTCAAAAGCCTTGATGGGGCTTCTATCAAGATGTAATAATGCCCAAGGTAGCAAAAGATACCACGCCAACCATTCTAGCCAGATGGTACATGGTCAGAGTGCCAGGCACCTTCCAGGTGGATGTTAGGCAGACAGAGACACAGTGCATCTCAAAAAGAGCACCTGGGCTCTGGTCAAGGCATTTAACTGTCACCTTCCCTTACTGACCCTCAATTACTGCATCTGTAAAATCAGATGATAACAATCAACCCCAACGAATGGTTGTTGCAAAGATGCAATGGATGTCAAGTGGCCAGTGCAGCATGTGGCTTAGAGGAGACACTCAGGACGTGGTAGCCCCTTCCTCCCCTACTCCCTTTTCCGGTTATAGAAGATGGCTTAGCCATGCTGCTTAGCAGAGTGAGCTGGCTGATGAAATGCTCATTAAAGCAAAGCTCATGGCATTAGCTGATGGATTGAAGTTTCTCAACTATGTGCATAAATGTTTGAGGCCATCTGACGCTTCCAGAAAAGTGTGTAGAATGCTCCTTCCATCTGTTGGAAATATTTTAAGCCTTCCAAGAAGGAGAGGCATTATCTCAATGACTGCATCTACCAGGTCCTGGTAGGCCCTCCGTCTGGCGGAATATCCAAGAGAGTCCCAACAGTGACATCTAGGGGAGAGTCTCTCCATTATCAGTACAATTTGGAATCAAAGTGAGTCCTTAACCTAAGGGTCATTTCAACTGGCTTCAGCTTGACATTTCCTTGATGCCACAAAGCCAACTAGTGGAAAAGGTCCAAGATGGGTTATTTGTTAAACAGAGAACAAACAGGTGACTCTGGATTACAATGCTTGGTGTTAAGCCCGTAAAAAGTGACCAGTAGATACAAATTGAGATCAAACTGGAATTCATTTGAATTTCTTGACAGTTTTTTAGAATTTTGGTGTCTTTTTAATCCCGTTGCAGTATGTAAGGTAAACCTATCTGACTGTCTGTGTGGGCTTCCTGGAATTCACTTAATTTAAATGCAGGTGGAATTGATG